AAGTCTTGAATTGAATAATAATCACCATAGATGGGTTTCTTTCGAGAGAGTGTTCTTCTATTTAAGAGCCTTAACATTAACCTGTCAAATTTAGTGTTTGAAACCATGGTGTTAAAGAGATTGTCTGAGGATCTGGAGCTGTGTTTAATGAGGTTATCTTGGCCCACATTCCCTCCAGAGAGCAAATAGAGACTCACTGGAAGAAGAGGCAAAGCTGGGACTGAGCTCAGCTCCAGAGTCAGGCTCAGAAACCTACTGCTGTTGTAGGCTCATGTAGTCTCTCATCAGAAGATTCCCAAATTCTTTGTGTCCCACATAGAAGCATTCAGGCAGGACACGTGGGTGTAGTAAGAGAGGTAATGGGGTTTATTAAAGATTATGGAAACAGTTACTAATAGACATACCTTCTGTCAGATATGAGGCAGAAACAGAGAGAGAGAGAGAAAAGGGGCCCTCTTCCTGTTTCCAGGTGCCTTCAAAACCTATGCTAACCTACAGGAGGGAAAAACCTAGTGATTCCCAACCACCAATAATCGATGAGTGGGGATAGGTCTGGGTAGCACTTGGGGCCAGTGTGTGGTGGATTGAGTTGCTCCCACCCCCACCCTAGGATGTGAATAATGTGCACATACTTGCAATTGCAAAGAAGGCTCAGAGAAAAAGAAGAATATTCAATCTGAAATACAAAATTAAATCAAATATGTTTTAAGAGTCCTGAACTTTTCCTATCTTGGCTTGCCTCACTGTCACTGGAACTCACAGAAATTTGACCCTCATTGTGAATCTAATGAAAAGCTTCCTTTGGACTTAACAAGATGAATTTCAAAATATGGAAGAAGAAAAAGAGAAAGATGAATAGAGAAGTGAGTGATAGCAGGAAGAAATGTTGGGTCCACGTAGAACTTTTAAAGGTGAAAAAATATTAAAACCAAGCTGTCTAATAACACAGCCACTAGCCACAGGTGCATGTTGAGCACTTGAAATGCAGAATACTCCCTTCACAGGTCCCCTTCCACCCTTTCCTCTCTACCCTGTGCCACCTTACATACTCCCACACTGACATCTAACAGCACTGTTAATTTTGCCTCCTTTTGCACTTTATGTGAAATAGATCGAACAGTATGTGCTCTTGTCTTATTTTTTAAATTCAACATTGTGCTTGCAAGATTTGTCCACATTGCTGTATGAAGTTGTAGATACTTCATTCTACTTGCTGTTTAATGGTTCAACATGTGACTATACCACAGCTTATTTCCTTTTTAATATGAATGGGTGATATTAGCAGTTTTGAGTTATTATTATATCATTCCTGTGAATATCCTATACAATTTTTGCAAACATAATACACACACACACACAAACACACACACACACACACACACACACACACACACACACACACACACATATATATTATACTATTTCTGTGTAGCTGTGACCAAAATGCCATACACAACTGAAGGGAGATTTATTTTGGCTCATGGTTTCACAGGGTTTAGTCCATGGATGCTTGGCTCCACATACTTGGGCAGAATATCATGGCTGTGGGTATATGTGGTAAAGGAACTTCTCACCTCATGGCAGAGAGGAAGCAGAAAGCAAAGGAGGGGCCTTCAAAGACATGTCCCAAGAGACATACTTTGTCCAGCTAGGTCCTACCTCCTAGTTTTCAGAATCTCCCAAAACAGCACCACCAGGGGACCTCAATACATGAGCCTGTGGGGGTTATCTTAATTCAAACCATAACTGTGCATGTGCACAGAGAGAGAGACAGAGAGATCACACTTCACTGCTGTTTTCCCAAATGGCCCTTATCAATCCCTTCACTTGTTCTTCAATTCATCCAAAGCAGTAAGGACAGAAGAGACTGGATGAGCCAAAAGTCTTAGCTCTCTGAAAATCTCCACAATCCCTTCCTTCTTGACCCTTTAGAGATAATTCTAAGGATTTCAGTGTTCTTTCCAACCCCTTAAGCTGCTTTAAAACATTTTTTTTCTGATATCAGAGATTTTCCCCCCTCTTCAAAGTCTCTCCTTTCCACATTCTAGTCATTCTGGTCTCTTCCTGGAATGTCTCCCTCTTCCCTCCTTCTCTCTCCTTTCCCACTGAACTTCTCACTAGCACTTGGGAGCATGGCCTTAAACTTTCCTGGAATTGGGCTTATTTCACAAAGTATCCAGGGTGTAAGTCAGAAGTCAAACTCAATTCTTGCAAGGGCCAGGCTAGGCAGATTTTTTTATTCCCAACTTTGTTTACATATTAAATACATGGGAGCATTCTTTACTTTTACAAAAAAAGATGTCAGGTCAGGTTTCTGCCTGAAACACATGGCCCTTTGCCTTTCATTTTCCTAGATAGGAATGTAAGAACTATTTTGTTTCCACCCCATTCTACTCTAATATCAGTAGGTGGTAGGGACCTTCATGATAACAGAGAACACACAAACTCTAAGCAGGCTGCTCTCCAGACATGGGATGGTGTTGCTAGATTTTTCTGACTTTTCAGGATACAGAAATCCAGGTATGTTGTGAAAAATCATGTTGTTAAAGTGTTAACTGTTACTTTAAGAGAATTTAAAGTGCCACAAAGACTAAAGTGAGAAAGCTTGCAAAGTGCAGGAGCACTGCCAGTGTACAGGTTCTGGCCCTGTAAATTCCAATAGGCATTTATCTTACAATGTTTGCTTCATTTACCACAGTTGTCTAATTATGTTTTTGATCGAGATCTGAATTCATTCTCCATATTTTTGATTTATGCTGTTTCTAGCCCATCTCTACAACACTTCATTAATAGTGCTTTAAGGTTAAATTGCTCTTGTTTCTCAGCTCTTCTTTCTTCTGTACAGAGTTAAAATATAGTGCTTTTAAAATCAAAGCTGGAAGTAAAATATTATGCTAGATTTAAAAAGTTTTCTATAGTAGCAGTATTCACAGCAGCCTAACTATGGAATCAGCCTAGTTGCCCACCAACCAAAGAATGGTTAAAGAAAATGTGGTACAGATACACAATGGAGTATTCTTTAGTCAAGAAGAATGAAATTATGTCATTTGCAGGAAAATCATCATGTTAAGCAAAATAAGACAAACTCTGGAAATCATCATGTTAAGCAAAATAAGCCAAACTCAGGAAGGCAAATATCAAGTGTTCTCTCTCATACATGGAATCTAGACCTTTAAAGAATTAATGCCAAGGACTGGCAGAGTGGCTCAAGTGGTAGAGCACCTGCCTAGTAAGTGTGAGGCCCTGAGTTCAAATTCCAGTACTGCCAAAAAAAATTAATGACATGAGTGTAAAAGGGGACTATTTCAGGGAAGACCAGTGAGAGAGAAGAGAGTGAAAGGAGAGCATGATGGGGGAGTGAATATGATCAAAGTACTTTATATTCATGTATGAAAATAGAATAATAAACCCCATTAAAATTGTTTAAATAACAGGGAATTGGAATAATAAATTCCATTAAAATTGTTTAAATAACAGGAGGGGATGAATTTGATCAAAGTACATTATATGAATGTATGAAAATATCACAGAGCAATCCATTTGTATAATTCTTATACACTAATAAAAACAAATAAATAAAAACCTTTCTAGAGTGTCGAGAAATATTGCCAATATTCTCACTCTCTTTGCTCAGTGGAGATCTGGGTAAATATGATTAGCATACACATACACATCACTATGATGAAAACTTACCATGTGACTCACCACTCACAACCCTGTCATCCCTCTTCCTTAATCTACCAGTCTCCTCCAGGGAATTTTCCCTTCTCTCAGCTACATTTGCACCTTTCACCCTTCAGCATAAAAAACATATTCAGTCCATGTAATGCATCATAATTGTACATTGTATCATAATTGCACATAGTTGCCTTCTCTGTAAGAGCAGAACTCTATCTCTCCATTGTATCACCAGGCCTGGCAGAGGGCACATAGTAGGGATAATACAAGTTATTGCAGGAACCATTATCATCATCCAAATAATAGCTACCATTTCCAGACCACTTACCACATGCTGAGTAGCTTACTTATAATATCCGGTCTTTCCCAGACCAGTCCACACAATCCAAGGCAGACTTCCAAGTACTCTCTAGCATAGCACATAACCTTATTTTATGAATAGGACTTGTCCCTTCCTATTATATTCTTGTTTAATTGTATGTGTTTTGTCTGTCATCTGTCTCCCCACAGTAGAATGAAAGCTCTAAGAGAACAGGGATCCTTTCTACCGTGAGTTTGACACATAGAAAATAAATAGATTCAAACTTCCCACCTCCCAAGGTGAAAGTTGTCGTGCATACAGTTGGTCTCCAGAAGTATGTGTTGATTTGATTTACTAAACAAATATTTAGATTTCAGGATAATTGTGAGGAATATATTGTAGTTCATAACAGGCTCCGGGGAGGGAGGCACAATAATAGTTTGGTTACATTACCCTGGTACTGAAATTGGTACGGGAATTTTTGCTGCAATAAGAAAGCCACTTCCTATGACATATAGTTCCCACAATTCTGGGTCTTGCCACATCCGATAGAGAGATGGCTCATCAAGGCTAGGCAGGCTGGGGCAGTCAGCAATCCAGACGCTCACTCTAAAAGAGGAGTGCAAGTGGAGGTGGGCTCCCCCCGACAGGAGTGGGCCGCGAGCGGGAGTACAGAAGGGTCTGCGCGGTCCATGCGGTGCAAAGCCCATGCCTGCAGGAGCCTCCACGACTCTGTGCCTTGGGGCTCTCCTCCCTCTGCGTTCCTCTTTCTTTCACCCCTAAATCGCCTTGCACGGTCAACCCTGGCGCACCTCCAAGCCTTCAGGGGGCGACGTCACCGAGCCCGCGTCACGCGTGGGAAGACAGAGGACCTTACTGCCGGAATGTTTCCAATTAATGAGGCCCGGTACTCCCGACTCCAGACCGCGTCCCGCCCTTGCTCCGCCCCTCGCTCCGGCCCTCGCCCCGCCCCTCGCTCCCGCCCCGCCCCTTTAAAGACTCCGCCCCCGGGCCCGCCCATCTTGCCGAGCGCGGATCTTGGAGCCAGCGAGCTCACTGCTGCTGCGGCTGCGCCTCCTGGTCTTCCGCGTCACCGCTGCCGCCATGCCCGGAGGGCTCCTTCTCGGGGACGAAGCCCCCAACTTCGAGGCCAACACCACCATCGGCCGCATCCGTTTCCACGACTTTCTGGGAGACTCGTAAGTGGCCGCCCCGTATCCTGCCCTGGCTTCGTTGCGCGGGAACCGGAGGTGCCCTCCCTATTTCTGCTTTCCGTCCTCCGCTCCGTTCCGCCCCCTGCGCGCCGCCCGCCTCCTCTCGGCATCGGTTTTCGCACGTGCGACCTCGGCACCACATCGCCGAGCGCTGCTGGGGACCGGCGACCTCTGGCCGACCTGCGCGCGTCACCTCACGCTCCTCCTCTCGCGGCCCCAGCGTGGCTGGGCTGGCTTGGGAGAATGGGACGAAAATTGGCTTTCGCGGGTCCTTGGAACTCGAGGTCCTTGCGGAGGAGGGTTTGTTGTCCATTTAGCTTGGTTTAGTGAACTGTGTAAGTAACACGATGTTGGCGGTCACTTCCCGGGTCTCTGGCCTGGGGTCGCACTGCCCTTTCTCCCTTCGTTGTGGAATTTGTACCCTGGGGAAAGTGGGTGCTTAAAGCCAAAGTCGGAGGACACAGCTGCAAGTTAGGGGAGGGCCCAGCGTGTTATCTAAGAGTTCTGCACACTGCATGTTGCAGATTTTTGGTCACAAACTGAAAAATTGTAATCCACCAACTGCCAAGTAAGTGAACATTTTGTGCAGTGGCCAAGATCCGATTTGATAACAGGTCTTAGAGAAACCAAGGACATTCCGTGTGTCGGTGTGCCCTTCATTCCAGAACTCGAAACAGTGACCTATCTTGCCATTGTAGGCCATTTCAGGCGCCAGGACACGTGTACCTCCCTACTTAGAGACTCTTTTGTTTCCCAGTGGTTCCCCTCCCCCTTCTGGCCTTGCTGGTGATGGCCAGATGGATGACCATAATGATTAGGACTTGTTTTATAACTCCTGAATCAGCAGACTGTAAGTTGTTCACTTTCAAGCTGAAGCATTCCAGCCATGTCTAGTTAAATTATGGTTCTCGACTTCTAGTCGCCCCACTACTCTGTGGTGCTCTCAGCTGGACAATTCCTCCTGGGTTTTTATCCTTTTTATATCCAGTACCCAGGCATATATGTGGGGAGAGAGAGAGAGAAGCTTATAAAAGTTATCAGTGATTGAACAGTTCTGTAAAAGATTTTCACACATCAAGCCTACTCAATCCCTTACATCCTCTTCAATCCATTTTCCAGCTACTCTTTAGGGAAGAAGTAAGCCTTGCCAAAGGAAGGGCTTAGGCTAGGCAAAGGATGACAAATGGGACTTTCAGACCTTGAAGGCAGGAAAAGACTTTAGAAATTATAGCCAGTCTAATAATTTAGGTATTACTGTTTCTTTAAAACTCCATATGATTTTCACAGTGTTTTCCTATCCATTTCAATCTACAGCCCTCACTTCCATGAAACATGAAATCTTACTTGAAATCTTAATTTATGTGGATCTGAGATTTATATTAACATGTAGCAATAATTATAAATGCTGTTACACTAATGCTAATTATACTTTTTTGGATCTTTGTGGTAATTTATTGGTCTCTGGATCTATCTAGATTTGATTAAAAGTGATACTTTCTCAGGAAACCCCCAGTAGGCATATAAGAAAAGTATCTGCATCTTAAACGTATTATACAAGTCTGTATTGGATCAGGCATGATATTTCCTGTCCTACCTGGAAAGAAGTTCCAACCTTCTGTATCACTATAGTACATAGAGCTTTGCCTGGTTTTTCCAAACTCCATTCTGTATATGATCTCAAGTCAAACTGGCAGTTTCTGATCCAAGTATCTTTTGGAGAAAAAGTTAATTTCAAACATTTCAGGTATCTACTTTACCCCCTAACGCTCAAAACTAACTGAAAGGGCATGGGTGTGCATGTGGTGAGTTTATTGAGTCTAATAACTCACTTTCTGTAATGTGATAGAGGCAGATTCTTCACTAAACAAAATGCTCAGTTTTCTGGAGCTTAACAAGTAGAGACCATTCTCTTGAAAGGAAGAAACCCTTTATCTTGTGAAAATGAGGAAGGAAGGAAACAGGATACTGTAATTGAATTACTCTTAAGCACTGCAGTAGGAAAGCTTAGTGAGGAAGGAAGGCCAAGGTAAGACCTTGGAGGCGCCCTGTTGTAAACTTGAGTTTGGCTTCCTAGGGAGGGGCTGTGAAGTGGCTTAAAACCAGTTCCCCAGTGTGATTCAGCAAAACAGACTATTGACTCATAATGGAAAAAGACTTTCCTAATCCATCACCCCCTTTGACAATACAGGGAAAAATGCCCTGTTCCATTTTCTACAACTTCCAGAAACTTTCTTTTCCTTTTTCTTTTTTTTGACAGTACTGGGGATTGAACCCAGGGCCTGAAACCTGCCAGGCAAGCACTCTGCCACTTGAGCCACACACCCCAGCTCTTTTAACCTTTTGTTTGTATTTTGGTTTTGAGATAGGATGTCGCTAACTTTGCTGGGGCTGGCCTCCAACTTGATCTTCCTGACTCTTCCCCCAAATAGTTGGGATTACAGAAGTGTACCATCATACCTAGCTCTTAAGTCTCATCTGACCCTTAAATAGGTCCTTTTCCATAATGTCTAAGATTTTACTCATGGATTATTTACTTCAAAAGATACATGTCTTTCTTACGGCCCTTTATTAAAAACTAAATATACTACCTCCCTCCCGCAGCCTTCAGAAGTATTACCTGTTTCTTCTCAGTTTTACCATGCACTTTCCATCCTTTTTGTAAGATCTTTCTTGGGAGTAGAGTGGCAGGTGGAGGTGGGAAGGAGATGCCCTTGTCTGCTTTGTGCTTTGTGCTCAGGGAAACTTGTCAAATTTGGAGGGGATCAGCTTAGCATCTAGACTAGATGAGTAATCAACTTAGTAGAGGATCCTGCCACTTGATGGCTTAAAAAGTTCTTGGACCTGTAGAGAACTGAGTGTTAAGTTTCTTTTTCAGTTATAAAAAATATTTCTGTTGCTTTGCAAAGTTTCTTGTTGACATACTTGAACCATGCTTAAAATCTATGTGGGTTTAACCTTTAGACGATGATGATTTAGGTATCAGTATGTACTTAAGAATTACAGTTGTAGAGACTGCTTTGTAGGCTGTCAGTTTTCTGTCTGCTTGGTGTGAAGCAAGAAGAGAAAGATACTGCGAAAGGAGAATTACAGGTAAACTGAAAGTGCTGTTTTGTCAAAGTGCAAATATGGGTGTCTTGTTTAGCAGGTTAGATCAGTAAATTAGCTTTATGAAAGTTTTTTTATATCCACTCACTTCAAAGAAAGCAAGTGTCAACCTTAGTTTTACTTGTAAGTAGATGATAGAAACGTATTTGTTTCAGGTTACATAATCTATTTATTATTGCAGTCAAGCATCTGTTTGGATTCAGGGCATAATGGGAACTGAATGTAGAGGAATGTAGAAAAGGACAAAAAAACAAAAAAGTTATTTCAAAAAGCTACTTGAGTAGCACAGATTTTATTAGCTGAAAAGTAATCAGGGTGGCACCATCACTATTAAAGAAGACAGCACCCTAAAATTATTCTTTTAAAATATTTATCATCTTGGATTTGTATCTTTAATTGAACTGAGCTGTCAGCATAGGCTTTTTTGGAGGTAAGATTGAAAAGCAATCTCAAGTGAAAGTTTAAAAGTCAGTTTCTTCAGCATTCACTTGAAAATGAAAGTCTGTTTTAAACCCAGATATTGGGGCTTTTCTTTTGTGTGATGTTGGTATCTGTTCATTCCATTGTGACCTTCTTTTCCTTCATTCCAGATGGGGCATTCTCTTCTCCCACCCACGGGACTTTACCCCGGTATGCACCACAGAGCTTGGCAGAGCTGCAAAGCTGGCACCTGAGTTTGCCAAGAGGAATGTTAAGTTGATTGCCCTCTCAATAGACAGTGTTGAGGACCATCTTGCTTGGAGCAAGGTATAGTTCTGTGAGATGTGAAGTGTATATCTCCTGTTTCCTCCTACCCAACTCCAAAGATCCTTAAAATCTTCCAAGTGAGGTATTTTTGTGTGCTAATGATTTGGCTGATGGTTAGCAGCCCCTAGGTAGCTTCAGGGTAGGAGCTAGTATATGAATGTAGCTTAGCAGGATTGGAGGGTTGGGATTTTGAACCCCACCCCAGTCTCTGGAGAGGAGAAGGAATTGAAGGTTGAACTGAGCACCAGTGGGCAATGACTTATCAATGAAACTTCCTTAAGAACTCAAAAAGGTCCAGGGCCTGGTGGTTCACCCAGTACTGGGGAAGCTGAGGCAGGAGGATCGAGAATTTGAGGCCAGCCTGAGCTACATTGTGAGTCCCTGTTCTGAAAAATAAAGAACCCAAAAGATTGGGTTCCAGGAGCTCCTGGGAAGTTAAATATGAGGACATGCTTGGGGAGTGGTGACTCTGAGAGGGCATTGAAGCTCTATACCTTACCCTGTGCACCTCTTCATCTGTGTCCTTTGTCGAGTGTTTCTCCGAGTTCTGTGAGCTACTCTAGCCCCAAAGAGAGAGTCATAGGAACCCCAGTTTACAGCCCATCAGTCAGAAGTACAGGCAAAGCAACCTGACACTTACAGTTGGACTGAGCCCTCAACCTGTGGGATCTGATGTTCTTTCTCCAGGTAGATAACGTCAGAATTGAGTTTAATAAGATGATACCCAGCTGGTGTCCAATGTTGAATTGATTGGTTGCTGCTGGGGAGAAATCCCCATATACTTCTTGGTGACTAAAGGTCACAGAAATCTTCTGTGTTGATTGTTCGTTGAGAGAATAGAAAAAATATACCTTGGGTTTTTTTTTTCCTCTATCATCAGAAGTATCAGTTGGCCAGTTGCTTTAAGCCAGGGTTATATGTCAAGTAAATTATATAGAGAGTAGCTTGAAATAAAGGTACAAGTAAACTTCAGGTTTGAGATTCACTGAAAATCTGACTTGGAACTTGTAGTACATCCACATTGCTAAGTCCAGTGATTATTTCTCAGTCACCATCTTTCTTGGCCTGCCAGCAGCATTCAGGCCAGCTGATCACTGTTGTCCTGACACGTGGTCCTCTCCTTGCTGTTACTGCTCAGGTTTAAACTGATTTTTCATTATCTCCCCATTCCTACATTGTGCCAAAGTTGCTCTGAGCTTATTTCTTGGACCACTTCTCTTTTCCATCTACACTCTTTCACTTGGTGAGCTTACCTACTCCCATCTTTAAATACCTCATATGCTGTGACTCTTAGACCTCTATCTCTAGGCCAGGCTCCCCTGGCCTCCAGGTTGGTAAAACCACTGTCTAGTTGGCATCTCCCCTGGGCTGTCTAGTCATCTCAAATGTAGCATGTTTAAACTAGGTCCCATGCTTCATCCCAGGCTTACTCTTACTCATCTTAGCTAAGGACAACTTCGTTTTTGTAGTGGCTCAAGCCAAAAATTCAGTAGCCATTCTTAACTCCTTATTTTTTCATATAACATGTCTGATTTATCACAATCTTGTTGGCTCTACCTGTAAAATATGTCCAGATTCATATTCGGAAGACTCGATCTCCAGGTTTATCTGTGTGGCTTACTTTTCCCCCTTTTGGGCCTTAACTCAAATAGCAACTGATTAAGGCTGTCTTTGTCTACCTTATCTAAACTAGTAATTCCCATTCACATTCCCTATTTCCTTTTCCTTAGGCCTTGTCATCATCTGAATCTGTGCCTGTTGCTTCTTTCATTGGTTTGTGTCTCCCCACTGGAGTATAGGCCTAGCAGAGGCCAACTCTTTCCTTCACTGCTAAAACAGTACTTAGTACCCAGTACGGTTTAAGTAATCAGTATTTGTTGAATGAATGAAGAGACTGTCTACTTCCATCAAAAGGATTGGACTATAAATGTGGTAGCCTAAACTTGAAAGCATTTTAAGACTTTGCTACAATGTACTACTAAGTAATAATGATAACTCCCTTTTGTGCACTGAACACTGGTGAATGTCCATCTGAAGAAAAGATGGCATGCCTGTGTGAGTTGATGACCTGGGGCTGCATCTCATGGTCATTTCATACCAGTTAATCTTAAGTGTCTGAGAATAGAAGAACTGTGTAGGAGAAAAAGGAGGGCAGTTACCTTTCTTAAGGTGATATTTTTCATTCCTTACACTTAACAGTGAATGGTAGAAGTTATTTTTACAGCTTTCTCGCAGGCAGTTTCTTCCTTAGAGTCTAGCAGAGCCTTTTTTAAGGTAGATGTATGATTTCTGCACCCCCCAGACACACACAACTTTTTTTTTTTTCCTGGTAGTACTGGGAGTTGAACTCGGGGCCTGATGCTTGCCAGGCATGCGCTTCACCAGTTGAGCCACTCCATCAGCCCTTTTTGGACTGCTTATTTTCAAGATAGAGTCTTGCTTTATGCCCAGGCTGCAGTGAATTGCAGTCCTCCTACTTGTTCTTCCCTGAGAGCTGGATGACAGGCATGTGCCACTTCACCCAGACATGGGTTGAAATGGGGTCTTGTGAACTTTTTCCCTGGGCTAACCTCAAACCACAATCCTCCCAATCTCCACCTCTTGAGTAGCTTGAATTGCAGTCTTGAGTCACTGTGCTTGGCGTCTGCTCTTTTTTTTTTTTTTTTTTTGTAAATGAGAATATAAGAATGATTGCTCAAGATTACCCAACTATAAAGTGATGACAATGTCATTTGAACCTCCAACCAGTGGTCTTTTTGGCACTAGATGGTAAAGAGTGAAGTTAGCCTGATTTGGAATACATATTGTGCAAGTGGCAGGGTAGAGAATTGATGCATAGCAACAATGAAAAGGACAGGCCACTGAAGGAAGAGCTGTTATGTAATACCTTTTCAAGTATAGGAACATACTCAGATTCATTTTATATGGTAAACTTCCGCCTTACAAGTTTTCAGAATTGTGATTGCCTTGAGCAGAAAACAAGTCCAAACTATCAGAAGCAGAGCTCAGACTTGGACATGTAACTGGTTATGTAGGAAACCTAAACGTGCCTCCGGCATGAAACCGTGTAGTGACTTGATAGACAGCCAGTGACAAGAGAAGGAAAATTCAGACAGTAAATTAAAGAATATGTTAAAATCTGCTGTTACTCATTTCAGAGTTCATTAATGTCACTTTTATCTTAACTCTGTTGAGAAATTCAAAAGGTTTCAAATCTTCTATGCCATCAACCCTGTCTTACTTTCAAGGCTGCACTTGAATAGACCTTTTTCCAATCTTCAGTCCACTTTTTCATTACTTCCTAAAACTACCCAGCTATGCCCCCCCTCCTGTATTAGTTTATGCATTGTCTTGCCTACATGTTTCACTAGTATTATTCTTCCTCCCTAGAGTGGCCCCCTTTTCCCCAGTGAAAAAATCTTACCCATCCTTTAATGGCCCAGGTAGATGTTCTATCCATTTCTTGAAGCCTTTCCTTACTCAACAGTCCTATAATGTTAGTACACTTCACATTTGCACTGTCTTGTATGTGCTGCTAGTTCATATAGGAATTACCTAACCAAATTAGAGTTCCTTTGAAAGCAGAGCTATACCTTACTGATCTGTAATCCACATGTGTTTATTATACTGCTTAGATGACTTAAGCACTATGTCAGTGTTTGATTAGATAATGAAACTAGACTTTTTCCTCTCCAAAGCTTCTAAAGATAGGAAAAGGAGAAATGAATGAATGAATGGATAAAGTGTTGCTAGGGGAGGAAAGAAGTACAACATTTCCCTATAGTTCAAGTTTTGTAACAACTCCCTTCCCCCATCCCCCATTTCTCAATATCTGTCCTGTAGCCTAAAGTCTGAGTCAGGAGAGGGACCGTAGCTATCGAATTTTCTTTGCACATGGCATTATTTCTCAATGGGTGGACTTAATTCATTTTATTTCTGGTGGTGGTTGTTTGTTTTTTATAGTATGTGGATGGATTCCCAGAGCTATGTCGTATTGGTATAATAATAGAGTTAAGTCTATATTAGTCAACTTTGAAGTTTAAGAGAATTGGGCATGAAAGGGGCTTTGGTCTATGAGGACTGTACTCCTGTTAAGTGACTAATTGGGATGAGAAGTGTTCATTTATTTCATCTTATTAAAATTGCTCAGAGAAAATTACAATTACGGTTCTCATCTCTCTCTTGTAAGATGACTGTTAACATAAAATCCAAAGAAATGTCAGGTTTAGAATTCCCTTTCTCCTTTCTCTTGCAGGATATCAATGCTTACAATGGTAATGAGCCCACAGAAAAGTTACCTTTTCCCATCATTGATGATAAGAACCGGGACCTTGCCATCCTGTTGGGCATGCTGGACCCAGCAGAGAAAGATGAAAAAGGCATGCCTGTGACTGCGCGTGTGGTGAGTCCTAGCAGTCCGCTGCACAGTCAGCAACATGGATCAGGTTCTGTGTCCATGTAAATGCTTAGGCCAACCAGAGAAAATAGGGAAATGGCTACAATTAGAAGTAACTGTGTACCAGTGACATTGTTACTGATTATAATGCTGATGAAAAGTAGCTGAAGTACTCAGCTAAATCTTTTAACTGCTTAGTTCATAACTCTTGGAAATTACACAGAAATAAGTAATTTATCCTAAAATAAGTCTATCCTGCAATTGAGAAAGCTTTCCTATAGCTTTCCCAAGAGTTCTCTTTAAAGTGATGTGCCATGTCCTTCTTCATAAAGATAATGTAGTTTCTTAATTCTTATTTGTTCTGTCCTTTACTTACTGGGGAGCAAACCCTGTTGCTCATTTGCATAAATATACAGTTATTTGAGGCCCAGTGCCAACTGCCATTAGTATTAATTTTATGATAATCATCCCTAATTGACATCATACTTTCCTGGGTTAAATTTGCATAGCAGCTTTTCTTACTGGGGCAGCAAACCAAATATAATTTCCTTCTGAGTTTTGAAAATTAACATGGAGAAGAAAATGATCACTACCCCACCCACCCAGATAAGCAGTTTGGTATCCTTCTGTTTGTTTTGTTTCTAGTTTTGTTTTTAGCCCCTAGAACATGTTTAATGACTGAGAGTTTTCTGGGTAGCTTTACTATCAAAAGCACTGAAACAACCCTTCCTTTTTAATGCCATGTATGCTTTGCAGGTGTTTGTTTTTGGCCCTGATAAGAAACTGAAACTGTCTATCCTCTACCCCGCTACCACTGGCAGGAACTTTGATGAGATTCTCAGAGTAATTATCTCTCTCCAGCTGACAGCAGAGAAAAGGGTTGCCACCCCCGTTGATTGGAAGGTAAAGATGTTAAAAGGCCAGACATACAACATGCCTGGAAACCCTGAAGGACCAGTCTCTAAAGGGCTACCTTCAGGGTCTGTGTCACCTGGGACTCTGGTTCTGGCATCCAAGTACACTGGGAGGACTTTTTCCTCATGGCCGAGTTTTAGATTTGTAAAGAGATCTTTTAAATCTTATACATGAGCTCCGTTTGTTGTTTTATAACTTTTAGATACTTTGGACATACTGGTCACAGGAATTCCTTTCCTTATGTATGTTGAGCATCTATAATCAAAAAAGCCAAAATTCATAATGCTCCAGAATGTACAACTTCTTGAGGGCTTGAGGCACTTTAGATCTCAAATTTTTGGATTAAAGATAGTTCAACAAGTAAAGTCTATGCAAATGCCCAAATATCCTGAACACTTCAAAATCCAAAACACTTCTGGCCTCAGGCATTTCAAGATAAGAGATACTCAACCTGTGCAAGGTTTAAAACAAATAATACCAACAACAAAAAACTTTTGTGTTGTCATTTTTGCTTATGGCAAAATACTTATAGCAAAACCATTGACTGACTATTTTTCTCAAGTCATAGCTATAAAACTATTGATCATTAATGTTATGAAGCATTTCTTTTAAGCTTCAGCCTTTTCCACCTATGAAGACATCTCTGAAATTTATTCATAAAGTTTTAATCTCTTAAGATCTCTGCAAATCTACAGGACATTGATAATATCTCAAGAGTATCTTAATGTTGCTACCAGTTTTTAGGTATGCTTCCCTGAACACAGATGTTGTTTTGTTTTTCTGATAGGCAAACCATTTGCATTCTGTATCCATTAGTAGACCCGTATGTTCTAAGCCCAGGTAGTGAACACTGGGGAGCCAGCACTGACCAGTGTACAGTCCCTAATTACAGCACTTCCATCCCAGTGGAGAGACACAAACAGTAAACAAGCCTGGTCTACTGAGTGGTGACAGTGCTACAGAGAATGGCCAGGCAGAGTGGGGTGATAGGAGCACAGAAGTGGGAGAGTGGGTTTCCTTTTTGGCTGTCAAGGACTGCCTTTTTAGGAAGGGACCTTTGGGAGATGTGAAGGAAGTGCATGCCCAAGTTGTGCATGTTTGTGAGAAAAGAGCACTAGGCAGAGAAGTGGCTTTAACTGAAAGGGCTTCACCTAAAAATGCGCTTGTCGTGTTGGAGGAGTAGGAGGAAGCCAGTGGGCCTGAAAGAGGAGCAGCAGGATGAGAGGAGATCAGATCTAATCCCACAGGGCCTGGCAGCCATGGGACAGACTTAGAACTAAACTTTAAAGTTGAATGGCAGGCTATTACTGGGCTTAAAACAAGATTCTAGTTAAGATGAGGAACTACTCACAAAAATGTCAACGATCAACTTGTGAAAACAAAATTCCTCAGAGTGGAGAGTGTGAAGAAAATTAGATTATTCTCATTAGCACTCACACTGCTTTCCTAAAGTTAATTCGTAAAGACTTGTAGCATTACTAGGCGATTGAGTTTCACCATTCTTGATGTCTTCCAACAGGATGGAGACAGTGTGATGGTCCTTCCAACCATCCCTGAAGAGGAAGCCAAAACACTTTTCCCTAAAGGAGTCTTCACCAAAGAACTCCCATCTGGCAAAAAATACCTCCGCTACACTCCCCAGCCTTAAGTCTCTCCAGAAGTTGGGGGTTGCAGCTTCTCCCTGAGTACAGTGAGCCCGAGGATCCCACCTGCCAGCGTTTCCTTGCAGCAGTTCTGTAGACACATCCTGGTGTGATTACAGCCGAGATCCTTAGGTTGCTTATTAAATGGAAATGGCACTAAAGCTTTCTTGGGATTCTTTACTCTGTGCCTTCACCAGCATTCTGTTCCGTTCCTACATCTGAGCACTCTCTGCTGGCTGGCTCTGAAATAGATTCTAATTTGAGACATATCTTGTTGGATCTCTTCAGGGTTTGCGATCGACAAGGTAGTCGCAGGTGATGGTTGAGAAAGCTTGCTTCACTATCATAGAATATCAGTTTTTGTAACTTTCCTAATCGAGTCCCCTCTTCTGTTACCCTGTTTGGAGAACAAAAATCAAGTTTGAGCTTTCTCTATAAATATCTAAGTATGTAACCCAGGAACTTAGAGTAACTCTTATATTCCTTAATACTCAATGTTTTTATCACAGCTGCAGGAAAACTTAAATTCTATACTTTCCTAGTAGATAACTGACCTGGGAAGAGCAGGGGGGAGAATTCTTTAAATATTATGCTATAAAAAAATTTTTATAATTTCTCTCAAAAGGGAGAGGCTGCAGAAAAGCTTCCTTTGCCTGACAGGGAAGGTGTGAGCAGGACAGTGCCATGTGCCTTTCACAGGGTATTTCCATATGTCACTTTGCTGTCCAATAACAAATGCATGTGATGACACACCTTATATAAACAGAGAAGAGGCTCTTGTAGGGGGTTGCTAATTTTCTGAATTTCGCTTTTGGGGGAATCAGCAAATAAAATCTGTTGTTGAAACTGCATCAGAGAATTCTGTTGTCACATTTTGAAGCACTAATTTAGACTCCTGTCCTGAAGGGCAGAGACTTTCTTGTTGGGATTAACATGAGTATTTTTCTCCAAAGAGATAAATAAAGTTTCATGTAATTAAATAGGAGAGCAGCTGAAGAACATACAATTTCCATGCGTATCTTGGCCCACTTTATTCCTTCATGTTACTTGCTTCGGTCCTAGAGTTCTGTGACTTCATGATTCCCCAGTGCAGGAATCACAGCCGCCTAACCTAATGCCTTAATGGGATGGCTTGACTTAAAAAGTAAGAGCTTTACTGATAATGTGATGTGTGGTTTTTGCTACTCCAAAATCAACAGTCTCTCAGATTTATTATATTGTGTTATTTAGTCTTAGGTTTAAAAAGAGGTGTCCCATTCATAGGTGTTCATCGGTTCAGGCTGTTGTAACAAAGATGCATACATGGTTTAAACAGTAAGGTTTTGGGAGGGGGGTGATGTTGGGGTGTTTTGTTTATTTGATAGTACTGGAGTTTGAGCTCAGAACCTCCAGACCATTATGTTCTGGTTATTTTGGAGATGGGGTCTTATACATTATCCGGGCTGGCCTCAAACCTCAATTGTCCCAGGTAGCTAGGATTACAGGCATAAGCTGCAGCAGTAAATATTTATTTTCAGTTGTGTAGGCTGGGTTGTCCAAGATCAAGGTTATAGTAGATCCTGTGTCTGGTGAGGGTATGCTTCCTGTCTCATTGACAGCTGTCATATATCCTTACAAGAGGGCGATCATCTGTCATGAGGGCATTAATCCCATTCATGAGAGCTCTACCCTATGACCCATTCTCCTCACAAAGGGCCCATCTCCAAATAGCAACACATTGTGAGTTAGGCTTCAACATAGCAATTTTAAGGTTACAGGACTTTAATCCATAGCACCAGGTACAGTCCTTTGCGTGAAGTCCTCCATATTTTTATTGAGCAGAATAATGGAAAACATTAGCCCTAGTGTCAGGTGTTTGAAAAATAAATTTTGGTTTTCCTTGATTTCCCCACATGTAAAATTTGAATAACACTAGAAAAGTGGAAAACAGGCAAAATATTCAGAACTGCACAATATTCTGGGGAAGGTTTGGTGTGAAAGACAAAAAGGATTCATCTAAACTCACTCTTCCCCAACTCTTGTTTTTCCCTTGAAGAACTGATCATACTATGCCCAACATGGTGGTACACACCTGTAATCCCAGCACTCAGGATGCTGAGGCCCGAAGATCACGATTTCAAAGCCAGCCTTTAGCAAGACCCTATCTCAAATCAACAACAAAATAACTGATGATACTATCTGTCCACATCTATTTATTCCCTGTTTCTCTATCTCCTGTCATTTACCTGCCAGTTAGGTTCGTCACTGCCGTCTTCCCTTTGACATTTGCTTTCTTTAGTCCTACCTAGCCTCTCATGGAGAGTCTGGCTTCAACTTCCTTTTATGACAAAACCGTTCAAAATCTAAATCTCTAATACCACTAAATGTTCCACTGGTCTTATTTATTGACCAGTGGAACATTTGTCATGGAATTAGCAAATTCAAAATCAAATTCATCAACTTCCCCAACTCACCACTTACTCAAAAGCACAGACTTTGGTGTTTTGTGTAATGTTCTGTTCTACACACATTGATGCCATTACTGTAAAAATGCTGAAAGAGCTCCAGGAAGAGGAGTCATGTACTCTCAAATTCTGGTGCTTTTACAAACAGCCTTGTGAGACTATGCAGTACTCCTTTCCAAATATAAAATACTCCATAATGAAGGTACATTTCCAGGGTAAAAGCAATCCTGAGTACATTTTTAAATAACATGAGCAGAGAGAGTTCCCTTATTACGAATTGTTGCCCTTGATTTTCATAGAATGAATTCCATCATACATCCAAAGATTTGTTCATTGAAAATGAATAAACATGACCATCATGGCTTTGAGTGAAATGAGTTTAAGAGCTCATGTAACTTCTTCAGAATCAGGAAGTGCTTTGACTAGAATAGTCTCCTAAAATGAGTAAAGTGATAAACTTGTGATTCCCTAGTCTGGTCAGAAGTCTGATTTCACCTCCAACCTCCAAGTGAAGGATAGAGAACTGTAGAGAAGGTCGGCAAAAAGATATAGTGACAGTAACCATGTAGACATGGCCAATTCAAGATACCAGTTCCTTCCTGGGTGCAGTGAACTGGCACAGTGATTTATTCCCTAAAACATCCCAGTGACTACCTCTGCAAGTTGAGGAAATACAACTTTGATTCTAGTTTGAAGAGCATGTTAACTGCTTAAAAGACCATTACCATCCTTTTGTCATTGGTTCAGAAGTGAACATCTGATTCACCTTCTTGGCCATGAGACACAAATAGAAGATTGCTGGAAGTTTCTAGAATTCTTTACCTGAAGAGTAGGAGCATTTATCTCCCCAATGGATATGAATGAGAAAACATGAAGCACTAATTGCTTCTGGCAGTCATCTTAACCTAGGAGTGAGGAACCAGCCACTGAATGAAACTAAAAGTGAATAGCAGAGTAGAGAGATTTGGTAATTTTTACTGAATCTACCAACTACAACCATATTCTACCACTTAATTTATATGACATATAATAATAAATTTCCTGTTTAAGGCTTTTTGACTTGAATTTTCTGTTTCTTGAAGCCCAAAGTATCCTGATATGCCTAGAATGAAGTATTGTATTCTAGTGGTTCAAATTCAGTAATTATTCCTCCTGAGCAAAATTGTAGAGCACACATCTGTTTTCTATTCTTTCTGTACAACCTATAGCAAGTTTTCACTAAAACACCTGAGGAATGCATTAAAATGCAGAATCCAAAGGCTCATTCCCAGAGAATGGTATCATAGATCCCTTAATTTTAACAACCCAAGTGATGGTGATACAGAGCACAATGGACACTGCTGGTGCTCATTCATTTCCTTCTTAGGCCTGGCTAAGAACACCAGACTATATTCAGAACACTTGAACTAGCAAGGTGAAGTGCCAGTTCATCTCAGGATGACTTTTGAGAAAGTCTGACCTAGGGTGGTATGGTTTGAATGTGAAATGTCCCCACATGTATTGAAAGGCTGATCCCCAGCTGGTTGCACAATCTGGGGAGGTGGTGAAAATTTGAGAAGTTGGGGAGGGAGTAGGTAACTGGAGGTATGCTCATAGAGGTACTTGTCCCTGGTTCTTTCCTGTCTTTCTCTCCCTCTGTTTCCTGGACACCATGAAGTAAGCAACTTGGCTTCACCATATGCTCCCCACCATGGTTTGCCAGCCTCATCACAGGCCCACAGCAATGGAGCAAGCCAACCCTGGACCAAAAACTGAAACAACAAGCCAAAATAAGTCCTTCCTCCTTTTAAAATGTTTTGTCACTGCTAAGAAAAACTGACTAAAAGAGGTGAGGTCCCCTCCTGACTGAAAAATGCAAAGCTTCAGGAGAAGGCTTTTTATTCCACTCCTAAAAGGCCTGGGTACTGGTATTTTGCAATGATAAGGACAAAGATGATGAAGGTTGTAAGGAGCATGGGTCCACAGTGACATCCTCAAGCAGGTCCATCAGTCCTGTCTGCCTGTTTCCAGACATCTTGTTACATCCAGAAAGTGGACCTCTAGGTGGTTGTGCTTCTATGGCTAGGTTTCTGCAATCTGCAGCCACACCTGGTATTTACTGACTCATGGGTACTCTGAAGACCACACTGAGAAATACTGCATGGAGAAGATTCTTAAATCATTTGAAAACTTGACTTTTCCCCTTGTGTTTCTTTCTATTCTTACCTCTATTATGATTTTCCCTAAAGAATTGTGTGTTATTACAAAGTCTTGTTGAGATTGAAAAGAAGAATGGATTTTAAAAAATAAACAGTCAACCATAACATTCTACTTTATTTGACTTTTAAAAACAAAATGAAAAGTGAGATCAAACAGTATTGCAATGTAAGAATGTTAATTTCTCCTAAACCTTGCTTGCAGTAACCAAGATTGTAGAACACAGCTCCACTTTCAATATGTACTAAATTCAGGGAGGGGAGAATAACTATTCTTTGGAAGGGAGGCACTAATTATAGCTATTTCACAAATAAAAATTACAGGTCATATGGTTTAGACAATAATACATTTGTTGTACCTCACATTTGCTAACTTACCCTACTGTGACTTGCTGTCAGTAAGAAGCAGGGTTTCATTTGGTAAGCTATAAATTTTAATGGTATCTTATATTATCCTGAAGAATTTTGAACATCTCAAGTATAATGCAAAGACTTAAAATCAGATTCTTTCATCAATTGCTTATAAAATAAATGCAGCAGTAAACTGTTTCAGAAGTTTCTAAGTAAGCTCTTGATGGGTGATCCTTCAGCACGTGAGCCTTAGCTCAGTCTAACCTGACTCCACAGGTTATGTCTGTATCATTAGTTTCCTTTTCTAAAGTGGTATACAGTATCCAACTACAAAAGAAAGCCAAAAGGAAAATATTAGACTGTGAACACTTAAAGAATAACTTCTTACCTGTTAAATGGAATCAGAAACCTTACTGGACATTCCTACTTTATTATCTGGAACACTCCCCCTTAAAAGGTCTTACACATTAAGGGCTTTAAGTGTTACATTAATTAATTACCTGTGCATCTCTGTACTGTAAAGATACATTAATTCAGCTCATCAAAGGTGTGCTTAAGGAAAAAGAGAAGTGCTTAAGGAAAGCTAAGTTCCAGCTAACTTTATGATTGATTGCAAGGCAACTGGAAACTTTTTCTATAAATTAGGAAAATAAGAATTTTTTTAGAGTTGCTTGCCTAGTATGCATGAAGCCCTGGGTTTGATCCCCAGCACTGCAAGTAATAATAATAATAATAATGGTGACGATGACAATGATAGGACCTGGGAAAGACAATAAAATAGGAGCACCTCAATTATTTGACTCTCAATTAGGTTTCCCACTTACAAAATTGGTACCTTTAAGAGAAAACAGAGGATGACTCTAGGAGAACTCCCTAAAAGGAACTAAATTGCTTTGTTTAAAGGAACTGTTCACTGTGGCTTTGATCAGTGCAAATTTCCTTCCCCTGACAAATACACTGCAAACCACCTTGGCAATCATAAATGGCAGTGACAGGACCGTTTCTCTTAGAAGAGTCTTAGTGTGGATATCTGGTTGAGGATGGGGCCAGCTGAGGGACTTTCTCAGCTGTGTTTACAACACATACATATCTCTTTTCCTTAGAAAGCAGGTTAATTTGACATGGCTTCTAGATGTTAGAGACTGGAGGTCCCTGAACCCTGTCCTCAGCACTGTCACTACTGCCACATCTGCATTTGCCTAGCAAATTCTGGTCAGAGCTATCTGCTCCTACATTCCACCTGGAAGTGGGCACTGTTAGGAAAGCAAACAGAAACCCCTAGAACCATGAGCATTCAGGCAGCCCCACAAGATTTGCTGCTACTCTGTCCAGGCCAAAGGTGACAAGTCCATCTCCCTCCCCAACACTACGCCTGGCTTCCAGCAGTTGTCAATTTTCTCTAAATTAGCCCTGTTAGCTGAGGAAAGTAGGAAAAGGTGTGGGTGGCAAAAATCTACATGACTCTCCATTTTTAAAAATGTTTTGAAGCTGAGCACACCTGGTGGTGCACACCTAATCCCAGCACTAGGGAGATGGAGGGCAAGAAGACTGGGAGCTTGTGGCCAGCCTAGGCTATATAGCCACACCCTGACTCCAAATTAATTACAAAAGGACATTTATTGAGTGGGGCATGGTGTTGTATGCTCGTAACCCCAGCACTTGGGAGGCTGAGGCAGGAGGATCTCAAGTTTGAGGCTATATAGCGAGACTTTATCTCAAAAAAAAAAAAAACCAGTTTTTGAAGTCTCTTGTTTTAAAACTGCATGCGAGTTTTCCATGCTACTCCATAATGTTTAATGTAAGATGTTTTTAAAAACCTAATAGTTAAAAGATCTAAAATAAAAAATTCTAGGAAGCTGCCCGAGGTCCACCTGTGGCTGCACAGACCTTAGCATGGCACACCCACACCCACCTGAAACACACACACCAACAGGAGAAGCACAGACACTGACACTAATGTCTGCTTGTGTGCATGAAGTATGTCTGTCCTCAGCCCTAATCCAATAGAGCCTTACTTTTGGGGGGAGGTTGGTTGGTTGTTTTTTGGTGGTACTGGGGTTTAAACTTGGGGCCTCACACTTGCTAGGTAGGTGCTATATCACTTGAGTGCCTCTGTCATCCCTGGTTTTTGTTATTGTTGGTTGTTGGGTTTTGGGTTTGTGTATGTGTGTGTGTGTGTGTGTGTGTGTGTGTTGGGTATTTTTGAGATAGGGTCTCACAAACTATTTGCCCAGACTGGCTTCAAACTGCCTGAGTAGCTATGATTATAGGCGTGAGCCACCACCAGTGCCTGGTCCAATCCTTACTTCTGAATTAAACACCAAGGGAAAAGAATAAAGAAGAGAGAAACTGAGCACAGCAAAGTTATATATTTCAAAATATTCTATAATCTTAATATTTTAGTGGGACTGGAATTTGAACTCAGGACCTAGTGCTTGCTGGGCAGGTGCTCTACCACATAAACCATGCCCCCAGCCCTTTTTTGCTTTTTATTTTTCAGATAGGTTCTCAAATTTTTGCCAAGGCCAGCCTCAAACCGAGATCCCCCTACCTAGGCCTCCTGAGTAACTGGGATTATAGACTCACCACCTCCAGCTTCTTTGCTGAGATGGGGTCTCAGCAACTTTTTGCCTGGGCTGGCCTCAAATCACAATCCTCCTCATCTCTTGCTCTCAAGAAGCTGAGTTTACAGACTTGAATCGCTGCACCTGGCTATCATTTTAATTTTTAAGTAAACCAGATGAGCTTTCTCTCAATGTGTCCAAATTAATGAGTTGCAGCAAGGAGCCTCTTCTCTCACCTGCATTTCACTCTTTAACTCACAATTTGTTTTTGCTGTGTAGTTTATATTCACAATAAGAAAAATCAAAGTTTCAAGTTTATTACCTCATCTTTTCCAGTTGTAGTCTCTGTTGGTCATTCGAATATCAGTGTTATCTGTGGTGAACAAGACACATGCATTGAACAGAAAGACTAAATTAGTAACTTGACAGAAGGCAGCAGAAGAATGGTTTGAAATATCAGTTTACTTCCTCCTTCTAAGTCTCCCTTCTCCCTTTCAAATGATCTCTTTACTCTCTTCCCTCAGAAATTTGTAGTAAGCTTCCCAAAGTCTAACACAAGAGCGGACAAAATCAAGTAAATATCAGCAGATCACATATACAAACTGGGCAAGAGAGAGCAGTGGGGACTGTGGCACAGGGGAAGTCCACCTTCTCCCGCTACAGTAGTCAGCAGACAGCAGCCAATTGTGGCCACATACGGGAACAAGGGCTGAGTAGATAAACCTTCTCATTTTTCATGAAAACCTCAAAATCTGCACTTTTTAAAATGTGAAATTTTTATGCTTCTCTATGGCCACTGATTTAAAATTTTCAAAAGAAAATATGTGTTGGAACCAAACCCAGTGTACTTGCTAGATCCAGCCAATGGGGCTTACCATTTGTGACTTTTGTCTCAAACCCAGTGGGGAATACTAAGTGATATGTTTCTCTCTGTCTGAAAATGATTCCTGAGGGCCTGATAAAAGAGAAAGGCCTTCCCCCAAACTAACAATTGATTAAGAGCTGACCATTGTGAACACTGGGCTGTCGCAGATTGGGGCTGGTTAGATTAGATGAGAGTGACGGTGTATTGAAGCTGAGTGGCTAAGAGAGTGCTTACCCTGGCCTTGGGAAGGCAGGGACGCTGAGTATGGAATGGAAGACCTTGAGCATGTCTTCTGTAGGACAAGGCCTCCTGTGGATGTTCAGAGGCATGCTGCATGCAGGTGGAGGCTGGTAAACACTTAGTGATCACAACTACTTAGTGACTCTCAAGTGCACCTAAGCAAGTCATTTGACTTGTGACTGTGGACATGATTGGGAACACTCAATGAGTGTGGGTCAGCTTCTATATTCCATTCTGTGGCCGGGAGCAAGCCAGTGCCCCACACCTGGTTCATGGTGGGAGATTCTATCCTCTCCCCTGCCCTGCCCTGCCCCCAATGCACTGTGTGGCTCCAGCCTGCCAGGGCAGGAACACAGCTGTACACAGAAGCTGCTCTCCCCTGTTGAGGGCAGAGAAGGAGGCACAGAGGAGAGAAGGGAGTGGATTCTGGTGTCCGGCCACACTCAGAATCAACGTGGCAACCAGTGTGAACCCAAGGAAGGGGACCGATGATAAACCTACACAATGCCCTCTTGGAATTAAAATGCGTTCTATATTTGCTTGGAGTCCCTTCTTTCCTATCAATGAAGAGCTTTCCCTTGTCGGTGACATGGGGGCTAGTGTCACTTTTGGCAGGATCAGATGCTTGGATTATCAGCAGCTTGCTTACATCTGCAATTCCCTGAACCTAAAGGAAGAAAGTCAAAATTAGTCAACAGAGAATTTCTGGATTCCTAAGATGGCGGCTTTCCAACCTTTTTCCCACAAAATATAATAAGCCCAAAGCTAGAACTGGGTCTCCAACCTAAGCCCTGCTGTGTTGTTTTGTTTTCCTTTTCTTTGAGATGAGGTCTGGCTATGCTGCCCAAGTTGGCCTCCAATTCACAATCTTCCCATTTTAGCCTCCTGAGTTGCTAAAATAGATTATAGGTGGCACCACAGTGCTCAGCTAAGCCCTGTCTTTTTAATTTTTGAGATAGTCTGATGTTGTTTCAAGAAATCTTGGACCAACAAATTGTCTTTTGCATGTTTTTTTTTATAGAACTGGTGTTTGAACTCAGGGCCTCATGCTTGCTAGGCATGTGTTCTACCACTTAAGCCACTCCAAAAGCCCTTTTTTGTCTTAGGTATTTTTGAGATAGGGTCTTTCAAACTTCCTGAGAGTGGCTTTGAACCTCGATCCTTCTGATCTCTGCTTCCTGAGCAGCTAGGATTATAGGCGTGAGCCACCAACACCTGACATCTTTTGCATATTTTTACACAGCTGGGAGGCAATTTCTATACCTTACTCATAACTAGACTGGAAATTTCCAGTTTGAGTGAAGAGTGGGTTAATTTTACTCCCACATTGAAGGTCAAAGGTTTAAGACCCAGCCTTCCCAGGATTGCTCCATAGAATACAAAATCTGCCTTCTCCAATGCAAGCCACAGACAAGTAATAATTACAGCCACCATCTTTAAATATCATATATTATCTCACTGAATCCTCACACGACTTGATGCTGTTGCCATCACCCCCCTTACTAAGGAAGGGCTGAAGGTCAAAATGGTTAAGCAGCTTGCCTTTGCTCATGCACCCAGTAGGCACAGGAGTCAAAATTTAAATCCGAGTGTGCCTGACTCCAAACTTGGGACTCTTAACTACTAGCTATTCTGACATACACAATTAATTGTTGTCAGTTGAGTTTTCAAGTCGCTTATGGAACACCAGGAAGAGCAAATGGTTCTTTAGAAATGATTCTCCTTACCTGATCACAGGTTTTAGGTATAATGAAAGGTGCAAAATAGTATTCCTCCGTCTTACTATTAATTACATTGCCGTACACAATAATGGCAAATTTCATGGTCACACTAATAGACATTTCATTGTAGCATGATAAGGTCTCCACATACACGTTACTGGACTTCACGCACTTCTGAAAGCTTAAGTCCTGCAATAAAATCACATTGTCCTATAAATCATACAAATTGATACACGGTGTTATAAGGAAACATCCTCTGAGCTGAGTTAGTTCTTTTTTTTTTTTGATCTGAGTTCTTTGTGGGTGTCAGAAGGCACCTGGACCCTGGTACCAATAGATAGAGTTTATTTAGAACTCAGAATGGCCTTTGACAAGTTTCAAATTCAAAGGTTTTGTGTTACTGCTTTGTGACCCTGCATGGGGTTGCCCAGCCCTGATGCACAAGCCCTCCCTCAGCTGGAACAGGGTGGTTAGCTATGCTTCACTGGATTTCTATTTGCACAAAATCCAGGTTTGCATAGGCTTTACCCAGCAGTTAGTAAAAATGACACTTGACAAGCTATAACAAAAAGCTAAAACCAAACAAAGGAAGGCCCAAAGCAAGTCATACTTCAAGGCTCAGAATCATAGACTTGAGAGCTGCATGGGAGCTTTTAGGGGATGAACTGAGTCCCTTCTCCAAAAGTTCTTACATTGAGTCATAATCCTCAATACTTCAGAGTGTGGTTTTATCTGGAAACAGGGTCAGTACAGATGCAATTAGTTACAATGAAGCTTTGCAGAAAGAGGACAGGCCCCCAATTCAAAAAGAATGCTGTCCTTATTAAAAGGGGAAATTTGGAGACAGACTTGCATACAGAGAGATTGTCATGTGAAGATGAAGGCAGCCATCCTACAAGCCAAGGAGGGAGGCCTGGACCAGGTTCTCCTTTATAGCCCTAGGCAGAAACCGACTTCAACTGAAGATTAATAACCTCCAAAACTATGAGACAACTGTCTGAGCTTCCAAGTTTGTGGGACTTTGTTACAGTCACATTAGCAAAAGAATACTGTCGGTCTGCAGTAAGAACCTCCTGTCAGTGCCTTGATGGGGCCATCAGCTGCCACTAAACATCTCCAGCCCCAAGGAGTGTGCAGCTGTATGAGCCAGCCTTGGGTTGTCAGTCACTGACAGGCAAACCAAAAGCTTATTTGCTTGAGGACACCAGTGTGGCTGAGACACCAAAAAGCATAACACAATTAACAAATATTTTATCTAAAATCTTGCAACCAGAGAAATGGTTTTTTTTTTCTTTTTGCTTATTATCATCTTATTGTTGTACTGTGGCATTTGCAACAGTTCTTACAATATATCAAATACATCATAGTTGAATTCACCCCCTCCATCATTCTCCTTTATTCCCCTCTCCCCCATTCCTGGAACAGTTTCAACAGGTCTCATTTTTCCATTTTCACACATAAGTACATAATATTTCTTTCTACCCTATTCACTCTCCTTCACCCTTTCCTTCTATTTCCTCCCCCCTCCTCCACTGGTACCAACTCCCAGACAGGACTGTTTTACCTTCCTGCTCTCCATTTTTTGAAGAAAAAAAAGACATTTTTGTTTGTTTAAGAATACATGTACATTTTGAGTTTTGTGATTTATAGGGGGGTAGAGTGGGGGTAAGGTATAATCTTACAGTGCCTCAGGATTCTAAAAAGTCTTAACTGGCTAGTTCTTCCATGCAAAAGCCTACGTATAAAATAGAGATTTTCTGGGGAGTAAAATTGGGGGTCAGATGTTATTATTATTTTGTAATGTTTTATATCTGTTTTCTCATTTACATAATGAATTTGCATTGCTTGTAAATTTTTTTAAAAATTGCGAAGGGCATTTGCCTTCTTGTTGAGTTGTCTGTCTCCATTGCTCCTAATTCGTCCAGAGTTTCAATAAACTGAATTTGTTCTACTTCTCATGAGAAAGCAAAGCAAAAGAAAAAGAGAAAGCTTCAATTTCCATACCCCTCCACCAAACGTTTGCTGAAAATTATTACTGTCACATAGTAAAAGACACCTGACTGGCATGACAATTTTTTTTTTTATAATACTAGGGCCTGGCACTTCCTAGGCAAGAGCTCTACCACTTGAGCCACTTGAGCCCTTTTGTGTTTATTTTGATTTTGTGATTTTATGATAGGGTCTCGATAACTTTGTCAGGGCTGGCTTGGAATCTGCAATCCTCCTGCCTGCACTAGCCTGTCCAGTTTCTGACACGCTAACTTTTTAACCCAAAGTTTATATTTAGTCTCTCAGGTCACTGAGAGACTAAACTCTCACTGAGCTATCATTGAACTTCAGGTCAAATCCTGACTCAGAGTAGGGATGAGAATAAATATTAAATAGGATAGGATGCAAATACAGGACTGTAAAATTGTACCAGTCTAGGGACTTGTACCATTACTCTGTGGAGGTAAGGCTCATGGAAGGTGCGTAGTCACTTCATCAAAGATTTTGAACAGGCAGGAAATTTATATTAATGTAGGTACAGTAGACCATTAATAAGCAGTAGAGAGTGTTCATTCATTCATCCAGATTTAACAGTATGCTTTACTCTTGGGGAGGAATCTACTTATTTCACGTCTCCTGAATCAATCTACTTTTCTTTTTAAAGAAATGATTGTGGGTAGGCTGGGAAAATTGGGGGTTTAAAAGAGGATTGATAACCTGTAGGAAGTCAGGATAAGAGAATGGCAAAAATTCTAGGCCTTTCTTTCTTGTTTATCTGGAAATATGAAATACATTTTGTTAAAAAAATAAAGTACCTAAATTCTCCCCACCTCTTTTTTTTTTTGGTGGTATGGGGGTTTGAACTCAGGGCCTTATGCTTGCTAGGCAGACTCTCTACTACTTGAGCCACATCCCCAGCCCTTTTTACACTTTATGCCCTGGTCAGCCTGGATTGCAATCCTATTTGTGCTTGCCCACATAGCTAGGGTCATAGAGCATGCTACTGTGCCCAGTCACTGGTTCAAATAGGATCTCACGAATTTATTGGCTTGCCTGGCTTCATACTGTGATCCTCCTCATCTCTGCCCACTGAGTACCTAGGATTATGGACCTCATTCACATTTTAACTATATCACTTACCTCATCAGCAAGACTTGATTCAAAATACTGATTTGCAATACCAAGAGCCAACTTGAGCCATATTTTATATTCCAGGGTTGGCCAGAAGATATCAAAGCCTTCATATAAATCCTCCAGTGAAATAAAGAAGGCCTGAAACAACAAGGCACCAAGGACAGTCAGCTGGCTTTGGAATTAATTATAAAGCCATCATAAGAAGATAATCTCTATCTTCTCAGAAAAACTCTTAGCTTTAGCACAATTATGATTCTCTACCATTGAAAAGCATTTGTATTGTGGAAAAGTTGTTTGCTATGTATAAGATGATACAAATGTATTGTCCAATTAAATAGACTGAATAAATAGACCAATAACATTGATATCAGTCAGGAGAAATGCTGAAGGATCTGACTCAGGAGACCCAAGATTCAGGAACTAAGCTCTACAAATATATGTCTTTCTGCCCCCACTCTCTCCCTCCTTCTCTCTCCCTATTCTTTTCTTTTGTCATAGTTCAACCCACAGTATTACCTACTCATTCACAGTATTATTTCCAGAGGCAAACTGCTTACCTTAATGAAGGTGACTGCTCTTTCAGAATTCAAGTTAAATAAAATTTAATGAATTTATTCAGTCTTGTGACTAAATCCATGCCTCTGTCCTCTTCCAGAAATGAAATGGTATGAAATTGATTTTTTAAAAAACCATTCCCTTCTGTTCCCTCACACCCCTAAGACTCTGGATTCTGCTCTGCTGTAGCAAACAGCCCCCAAAGATTAAGAACTCTTCACAACAGGGACTGTAGCTCATTTCTATTTGAATTGCCCACACTGAGCAAAATGTCAGGCCACGTGTGTGTTGAAGAGAGAAATTCTTAGTTGCCAAGTGAAAAACAGAAAAAAGCAAATTTAAAAACAAACCAAATTTCTTTTAAAACTCTGCTTTTAGAATGGTGGTCATTTAATGCACATTCATATGTGCTCAATAAATGTCATTCTTCAAAGATATAGAAACATCAATCCTAAAATTCATATGAAGTACAAAACCCTCAAATAGCCAAAGCATTCCTGGACAAAAAGAGCAATGCTGGAGGTATCTTAACACCTGACTTCAAACTATACTACAGAGACATAGAAACAAAAACAGCATTATAGTGGCACAGATAATTTTCTAGAAAAGTAACATAACATCAAGAAGTAAGTACTTTCTACACTTAATAACAAGGAAATGAAGACTCACAGAACCTTCCTTATTAGACATTAAATCTGCCTCCTGCCAGCAGTTCTACATTGCTTCCCAATAACTGGTTAGGTAACTAAAGAATAAATCAGAACCCAAAGCAAGAAAACATGCTGGCATTCCTTATTTATTTGAGGAAGAATTACCTAATAACCCAAGACAGAATTATTTCCTTACCTGTAAAGTAGTTTCACAGATGGCAGTAAATTTCATTTCACACTTAAGCAGACAACTCAACTCTCCAAGCACTTCCCCACTGGTACAGTACTCTGTATAAAAGATTTGATTTTTTCTTTCGGTCCTCACTTTGTGCTCTATCCCAAAGGTAGGAGATGAACTATGCAACTGCATAAGGATGGGAAGATGTACAAAGCGAAATAAAAAATTGTAAATCCTTTAAACATACTACAGGATCTCCCATTATGAACTAATTTTACAACACAGCAAAAGATACCTAGTTTCAGTCTTTTACATGCAGGTATCCAGTTTTCCCAACAGCATTTGTTGAAGAGGTTGTTTTTACCCCACCCTTGGCACCTTTGTTAAATATCAGATGGCTGGAACTATATAGGCTTATTTCTGGATCTTCTATTCTCTTCCATTAGTCTCCTTGTCTGTTTTTGTGCCGGTATAACGCTGGTTTTGTTTTTATGGCTTTAAAGTCAGATGTTATGATACCTCCAGCATTTCTCTTTTTGATTAGGACTGTTTTGGCTATTTGGGGGTTTTGTACTTCATATGAATTTTAGTATTGATTTTTCTATACCTTTGAAGAGTGACATTGGAATTTTGATGCATTAAACTGATAGATTGCTTTTGGTAATATAGGCATTTTCACAATATTGGTTCTGCCAATCCATAAACATGGGAGGTCTCTCTGTGTTCTAGTCTGTTCTTTGATTTCTTTTTGCAGTGTTTTACAGTTTTCATAGTACAGGTCTTTCACTTCCTTTGTTAGTTTTATTCCTAAGTAATTTTTCAGGCCATTTAGAATGGGATTGTTTTCCTGGTTTCTTTCTCAGCCTGTTCATTATTGGTACATAGAAAGGCTACTGATTTTTGTATGTTGATTTTGTATCCTGCTATTTTGCCAAAAGTGCTTATCAGATCTGTTTTCTAGTAGAGTTTTCAGGGTCTTTTAAATATAGGGTTATGTCATCTGCAAATAGAACAATTTGACATCTTCCTTTCCTATTGTATCCTTTTTACTTCTTCCCTTGCTTTATTGCTCCGGCTAAGAATTCAAGTACTATATTGAATAAGAATGGAGAGAGTGGCACCACTTGTCTAGTTCCTGACTTTAGAGGAAATTGTTTCACTTTTTTTCCAATTAAGACAATGTTAGCTATAGGTTTATCATATATAGACTTTATTATCTTGAGGTACTTTTCTTATATTCCTAATTCTTTCTGGGCTTTTATCATGAAGGGATGTTGACTTTGTCAAAGGGTTTTTCTGCCTTTGAGATGAATATGTGATTTTTGTCCTGTATTCTGTGTATATGCTCTGCATTATACCTCTGGTATCTGTAGCTATCAGATTCTAAGGAGACAAGCATTGAGAGAAAACTGTGAGTGTTCAGAATGCATAGAGATTAAACACAACTGATGATAAAATGGGACTGTTTGAGAGTTTCTCCACATCAGCTGAGCTGCACAGTGCACGCATGGGAATTTTTTTTTTTTGGCCGTGCTTAGTCAAAACCACACATAATAAATCTGTGAATAAGGTGGGCTTACTGTATTATGTTGATTGATTTTACATATATTAAACCATCCTTGCATTCCTGGGAAGAAACCAACTTGATCATGACGTAATGATCTTTTTAACGTGTTGTTAAATTTGGTTTATTAGTATTTTATTGAAAATTTTTGTGCCTATGTTCGAGGAAATGGTCTGTAATTTTCTTTTTTTGTCATGTCTTTACCTGGTTTGGGTAATACTGGCTTCATAGACTGAGTTTGGTAGCATTCTTTCCCTTTCTATTTTATGAAATAGCTTGAGGAACACTTGTGTTAGTTCTTTAAAGATCTGGTAGAATTCAGCATAAATCCATCTGGTCCTTGGCTTTTCTTTGTTGAGAGACTCTTTATTGCTGCTTCAATTTCATTGCTTGCTATAAACATGTGTAATTTATATCCTTTCAGCTCAATTTTGGTAAGTAACATACACCTAAAAATTATCCATTTCTTCTAAATTTTCCAAACTATTAGAAGTTAGGTTCTTGAAGTATTCCTTAATGATTCTCTAAATTTCATTGCTATTAGTTGTGATATCCCCTTTCTCATCTCTAACTTTACTAAGTTCTGCCTTCTCCCTTTTTCATTTGGTTAGCTTGTCTAAAAGTTTGTCAATCTTGTTTATCTTTTTAGGCAAACCAGCTTTCTGTTTCATTGATTCTTTGTTCTTTTAAGCTCAATTTTGTTTATTTCTGCCCTGGTCTTTATTATTTATTTTTCTCTAGTGCTTGTTTTTCTAAGAGTTTAAGATTATTAGATTAAGATTATTATATTATTTGAGATAGCTCTGATTTTTTAAATGTAGGCACTCATAACTATAAACTTTCCTCTTAATACTACCTTTGCTATGTCCCAAGGTTCTGGTAACTTGTGTATTCATTTTCATTTAATTATAGAAAATATTTTATTTCCCTCACTATTTCTTCAATGAACCACTGATTATTCAAAAGTAAATTAGTCTCCATGTATTTGAATGATTTTTGTGCAGAAGGTGTTTTTTTTTTAATTAATTAATTTTTTTTATTATTCATATGTGCATACAATGCTTGGGTCATTTCTCTCCCTGTCTCCACCCCCTCCCTTACCACCTACTCCACCCTCTCCCTCTCCCCCCCCACCTCCTCAATACCTGGAAGAAACTATTTTGCCCTTATCTCTAATTTTGTTGAAGAGAGAGTATAAGGAACAAGGGTTTTTGCTAGCTGAGATAAGGATAGCTATACAGGGAGTTGACTCACATTCATTTCCTGTGCATGTGTGTTACCTTCTAAGTTAATTATTCTTGATCTAACCTTTTCTCTAGTTCCTGGTCCCCCTTCTCTATTGGCCTCAGTTGCTTTTAAGGTATCTGCTTTAGTTTATCTGCATTGAGGGCAACAAATGCTAACTAATTTTTTAGGTGTCTTACCTATCCTCATATCTCCCTTGTGTGCTCTTGCTTTTATTTTGTGATCAAAGTTTAATCACCTTGTTGTGTTTGCCCTTGATCTAATGTCCGCATATGAGGGAGAACATATGATGTTTGGTCTTTTGGGCCAGGCTAACCTCACTCAGAATGATGTTCTCCAATTCCATCCATTTACCAGCGAATGATAACATTTTGATCTTCTTCATGGCTGCATAAAATTCCATTGCGTGTAGATACCACATTTTCTTGATCATTAGTCAGTAGTGGGTCATCTTGGCTGTTTTCATAACTTGGCTATTGTGAATAGTGCTGCAATAAGCATGGGTGTGCAGGTGCCTCTGGAGTCACAGTCTTTTGGGTATATCCCCAAGAGTGGTATTGCTGGATCAAATGGTAGATCAATGTTTAGCTTTTTAAGTAGCCTCCAAATTTTTTTCCAGAGTGGTTACTAGTTTACATTCCCACCAACAGTGGAAGAGGGTTCCTTTTTCCCTGCATCCTTGCCAACACCTGTTGGTGGTGGTGTTGCTGATGATGGCTATTCTAACAGGGGTGAAGTGGAATCTTAGTGTAGTTTTAATTTGCATTTCCTTTATTGCTAGAGATGGTGAGCATTTTTTCATGTGTTTTTTGGCCATTGGAATTTCTTCTTTTGAGAAAGTTCTGTTTAGTTCACTTGCCCATTTCTTTATTGGTTCATTAGTTTTGGGAGAATTTAGTTTTCTAAGTTCCCTATATATTCTGGTTGTCTGTCCTTTGTCTGATGTGTAGCTGGCAAATATTTTCTCCCACTCTGTGGATGTTCTCTTCAGTTTAGAGACCATTTCTTTTGTTGAGCAGAAGCTTTTTAGTTTTATGAAGTCCCATTTATCTATGCTATCTCTTAGTTGCTGTGCTGCTGGGGTTCCATTGAGAAAATTCTTACCTATACCTACTAATTCCAGAGTATTTCCTACTCTGATTTTGATTTTTTTTTGAGGCTATTGTAAAAGGAATTGTTTTCTTATATTCTTTCTCAGTTTGTTCATTATTAGTGTATAGAAATGCTAGATTTTTCTATGTTGATTTTATATCGTGCTACCTTGCTATAGCTATTGATGGTGTCTAGGAGCTTCTGAGTAGAGTTTTTTGGGTCTTTAAGGTATAGGATCATGCCATCTGCAAATAGGGATATTTTGACAGTTTCTTTACCTATTTGTATTCCTTTTATTCCTTCTTCTTGCCTAATTGCTCTGGCTAGGAATTCCAGTACTATGTTGAATAGGAGTGGAGATAGTGGGCATCCTTGTCTAGTTCCTGATTTTAGAGGGAATGGTTTCAGCTTTTCTCCCTTAAGAATAATACTGGCTGTAGGTTTGTCATATATAGCTTTTATAATGTTGAGGTATTTTCCTTCTATTCCTAGTTTTCATCGAGCTTTTATCATGAAATGGTGTTGGATCTTATCAAAGGCTTTTTCTGCATCTATTGAGATGATCGAGTGGTTTTTGTCTTTGCTTCTGTTAATGTGGTTTATTATGTTTATTGATTTTCATATGTTGAACCACCCCTGCATTCCTGGGATGAAGCCTACTTGGTCGTGGTGAATGATCTTTTTGATGTATTGTTGAATTCAGTTTGCCATTATTTTATTGAGGATTTTTGCATCAGTGTTTATTAAGGAGATTGGCCTATAGTTCCTTCTTGCATCAGTTTTGGAGATTGGCCTATAGTTCTCCTTTTTGGAGGTGTCTTTGCCTGGTTTTGGGATAAGTGTAATACTGGCTTCATAAAATGTGTTAGGCAGTTTTCCTTCCCTTTCTATTTCATGGAACAGTTTAAGGAGGGTTGGTATCAGTTCTTTTTAAAGTCTGATAGAATTCAGCAGAGAATCCATCAGGTCCTGGACTTTTCTTTTTGGGGAGACTCTTGATTGCTGCTTCAATTTCATTTTGTGTTATAGATCTATTCAGTGATTAATTTCCTCTTGGTTCAGTTTTGGATGATCATATGTATCTAGAAATCTGTCCATTTCTTTAAGATTTTCAAATTTATTTGAATATAGGTTCTCAAGTAGTCTCTGATGATTTCCTGGACTTCCATGGTGTTTGTTGTTATCTCCCCTTTTGCATTCCTGATTCTACTAATTTGGGTTTTTTCTCTCCTCATTTTAGTCAGGTTTGCCAGGGTCTGTCATCTTGTTTATTTTTTCAAAGAAC